TCCTCTGTATTCGCCTGCAACCGCTTTAAGCTTGGTCTTATTGGTACGGTCTTGGTACGGTATATATTACTCGCAGTGAATCGTGGGCAATCGCGATATTTTCTGTTTTTAATATTCAGTGAAGGTGTGAATTTACAACGACTTTCAATATAACCTTTTTCGAGTCGTCGACCGAGCCGGGTGCATAGGTAAATAATATTGTGTAAAGGCTGGATGAATGACAAAAGTGTCTTGAATTAGTACGCTCTACGCTATTTAGACAACGGTGAGCGTAAAATGTAACCTCTTATTATGGATAAAAATATAAAATCATAATATAATATACGATAACGATAGAGTATTGTAAGCACATATGGCTTGCTTTCCTATATAGATATATCTAAGTTACAATATTGTAATAAAATAAAATTGTTTGTCCAACTGAGGTAAAACAATAAAAAATAATATTTGAATTTGATACATATACCTTATATATACAGTAAAACTCACTTAAGACGCTCTTTAAGGGACCAGCTCTCTACAGCGTTATAAGCGGGAAAGCGTCTTATGCGAGAATGAAATAGGAATATAGATGATATAGGGACCGACGGGAAATACCGTCTTATGCGGGAAAGCGCGTCTTAAGACGCGTCTTAAGCGAGTTTTACTGTATTTCATAATATTTGATAACGAGAGTGAATCATAAACTAACAGTTGAGGAAAAATTAAATATTATAAACTAATAATTCTAAAACAATGATAATTTTCATGTTCCCTGTAATATAAATAATTTATCTAGACTCGTGGAAAAAATTCGTGTCTTTGAAGTATTGTAACTGGCCACTTCCTTCTCTCACGTCACCTAATATCATTTGCTTATTGTATTTATGGAAACATACGAATTATAAATGTTTCTATTTTAATAAAAAAAAAATAAATATATTTGTAAAATATGTAAGAAAAAACGTTCTGGTTGCAATAAAATTGGCTTGTCCATATACCTATGTTTTTCGTACTGGTCAAAACGTAAACATTACTCCAAAGCTGATATTATAATATAATTATGGGTACCTATACATTGTTATTGGCAATAACTGCAGCCGGTTCATTGACTACCACTGCTGACGAGTTTGGGATGAAGTACAAACCGACATAATATTATATATTATAAATTTATAACTGTCGACGTATATGACAAAACTATCGATTTTATAATTTTATTATAACCAACTAGAACGCCCATTATTTTTTGATAAATCTTATGACAATCATTAAACGGAATCTGTTTTCAAATACGTACTGCACTTATGTTATTATAATAATATGTAGTTTATATACGCTATTATAGTAGGTATTATTTATTTTTATTGTTGGACTTGTTATTCTCGGCACAGCGCGGCTATATCGATTATTCCTGGAACTATAATATACTGTGTATATATTTTATACTCACTGATAACTGTACATTATTTCGGAGTACATAAATGTATTGAGCACTTTTACTCTCGTAATAAATATACTACCAACGACGATTAATAACGTATAATATCACGATTTATTGGAAAAGTTTAAACCTAATATTGAAATAATAACAATTGCGCACTAAAACACTAAATTATAATTTATTAGGTAGGTATATTATATTACTCTGGTTATATTATACATTGGGTTCAATGAATAATTATGAAAAAAAAAAAACAGGATTCTACTGGTATAATAGAACTCAGATTTATATATATATACCGGAGAACCATATAGACATCACTCGATTGCAGAGTCGAATCGGCTCTTCGATCACCTAGGCGCAGGCCGGATATACCTAATTATGGCGAGTTGTGGAATTGTTTTCGAACAGCGATGACGGAAATTATTGTCGGACGCAAATCTATTCCGATTGGAGGTACATTTTAACATATAGTCGGTGCACAAGAATAGTGACACAATTCAAAAAAGTATATTTTCCAGTACGTTTACTTTATAGTTGTTTAAATATATATTAATTTCTTTAACGCAGGACAAATTTTGCTGTTCGTTTTTTCTTACACGCTTCAGGAAACGCATACGGAAATAAAACCAAAAATTACTTTTTCTGGCTAAGCAAACAGACCCAATTTCCAATTTATAAATATGCAGGTGCAGCTGTATATTATGTTTAAGTGTTCAGTATTAGGTATTTGAAACTATTATATCTTACAGCCGGCATACTTCCTGTCTGAAAAAAAATTTGTCAAAAAAGTAAAATAATTAAAAACAATGTATTGGTACACCCATATTATCACTGCTCTGAATGACTCGTTCGTAGGTATAGCTTTGCAGGACTTTGAGCTAACTTTTAAAACGAGTTTATTATAAAAGATAATATTATAATATTATACGAACGTTTGCGAGAAGTAAAAAGGAACAGTTATTCATAACAACTCATATTGTTTTCGAATATAAAATCATATAAATTATGTATAGAACACAACTAATGTATAAAAATGTGTGTTAATGTACGCTCGTTTAATTTTTAATTATTTTGGCTCATACACCGAGATAAATGTTACGTGTTAAGAACGTGCTTGTACACACGACAGTTCAACGACGGTTCAAAAACTAAGATAAATCGTAGGTACGTTTCGTATTTTGTTATTGAGTCGACGTACTATACATGAGAACCTTCCTGCAACATGACTATGGTTTAAAATATTGACAATATAGAATTATTATCTTATGTTCAAAAACATTATATTTCATATCAAACAAAACAATCATTGCCGACTGATGTATTGATGTGCGAGCAGTATATAACTATACTGCAGTTCGATGCGATATATTTATGGATACCTCTTGTACAGTCTTGTAGATATAGGTACCTATATTATATATAGTCTACACACCCAATACTATATTTCGTCGGTCTTTGCGGGGAGAACGTCACAAAAAGCCATAAAATTTAACGACCAAATTTATTTATATAGTATATTATATGTAGAGATCGACTCTGAGATATCAGACGATAATGCAAATACCCTCGAGTGTTACATTTTTATCGAACTACTTTATTCAAAGTTTTTTTTTTTAGTACCAAAGTTTGTGTCGTAAAATTCGATATCATAATATCGTGTTATATGTGGCAAACCTCCGTGGTTGCCCCTGTCGTGGTTGACAATTATGTCTTAAATATTGGTGGTTACTCCGTTACGATTCGTATCGAGGCTCATAATAATTATAGACCTCGAACTTTGTTGCAATAAATTGCATTGCGCTTTTTGAGGCTCATTAGATTTATTGCGATAGATAATCAGATAAATAGGTAGAATATGAATACAAATAACTATGAATATAAAATTAGTGAAATATCAAGTTTTTATGGCACCTATCTAATACATTATTTTAAATATATTTTTCACGCGTATAGAGATTTTACGATTTCTTACAGTAATCTGATTATAAACTTGATGAATTAAAAATAAAAAGATTTCAATCTTAAGATCGCGTGTACGGCCCACTCTGTATTATATTTTACAATTCGACGGCTCGTAATCGTTTTACAACACTATACCTACGTGTCTCAATATCATATTGTGGATGACGTGCACAATGGACATAAGAAAAAAGAGTCATATTATTTTATAAATTATATCGTATTATTAATATTGTCGATGAGTTTCGAAAAAATTACCCGACAGCGTTCCTGCGGTTAACAGGACGGCGGACCGTCGAGCGCGTCCGGTAGATGTCAGCGCGGGTACGCTAACGGATCGTCGGCGGACGGATACGGCGACGAAACGCGACGGCGGCGCGCCTCGGCGCCACTGGGCACCGCGCGCGCCGGCCATGACGAATTGAACGGCTATTGGCCCGACTCCCACCACCCCGCCCCGCGCGACGATGGCTCTCGCCGATTCCGTTTTAATGGGTCTTTCCGCGGCGCTCTTCCCCCTCCCTTCCCCCCAACACCCTACCGCCCAAGAGCCGTACTGCCGCACCGTCGTCGGCGCGCCGCGCTCTCTTGCCGCCGCACTGCAACCCGTTTCTCTCGAATGGCGCAACAAAAAGCGAACGGGCGACGAAAACGGGAGATCCCCGTGCGGCGCGGCGGCGGCGTGTGCGCGGCGGCGGCCTTCGCGGTGGTGGGGGCTTTTTCGAGCTCTCGCGGCCCGAGTCACATGGCACGTTCGTGTGTGCGCGCCAGTGACGATCTGATTGTCCCGTCGTTAAGTCGTCATAACCACTTAAAGCGCATACACGGACGAAAATAATAATAATAACAATAATAATAATATATAGTAATATCGTTAAAACCGAAAATCGCGGATCGTCAAGTCCGCCGTCCCTCCACGGCGCCGAAAATACCGACTTACCAACGCTATCGTGCGTTATTGTACTTTTCGGAAATTTCGTAAATTAATTTTTTTTTCGTTTTTCTCAAGTGTTTTACTGACCACGGTTCGGTTTTTTCCGTTTTTACTATCAATTCGCGAGACGTGTATATAGGTACATAATATATATTGTATATATAGCCGGTCGTCGTTAAAAATTTTATACTCTGCTCGTAAAAACCGCGGGCGCGCGCGAGTTTTACGACCCGTCCGGATATACGACGACGACGGCGAGATGACCCTTTTTACGACAAATTAAACGGTTCGTAAAGCCGACAAAAAGTGTTTTCGTTTATAAAGTGTGTGTTTGTGTGTATGTGTGTGTGTGCGCGCGAGGCAAGCGTGCGTGTGTGTTGCTGCGGTGTGCAGTATCAATTTGTACGCCTGCACCGACCAAGCGATGCAATCTTGACGAAAATAATCGTATTGCATTATCTTCGTAAATGTATCATTGACTGCAGCGCTCTAATATATATAGGAAAAACGTATTTTTTCCTCGACGAGTCGGCGAAAAAAATCGCGACTTTCCTCTGTCCCACGTGCAGCCACAGAGTGTGAGCGGACGGAAATCAAACGAATATATCCGTCACGTATTTATACAAGACATAATAATATTATATTATATAGTCGACGAGCCGTATAACTATACTGCCTAAGATGAATTCGTACTTCGAGCAGAGCGGTTTCTACGGTGGACATCACCATCACCAGTCGTCGTCGGCGCACCACCACGACCAGAACGCCGTGGCAGCCGCGTACCGGTTTCCGATCGGCTTGGGAATGTCACCGTACGCGTCTTCGCAACATCATCACCATCACGGGCTATCGCAGTCCAGGGCACCACAGGACAGCCCTTACGACGCGTCCGTGGCCGCGGCCGCGTGCAAGCTCTACGGCTCCAGCGGAGGAGGCGGTGGCGGCGGTGGCGTCGGTGGTGGCGGAGGCGGTGGAGGAGGGGGTGGCTCGGGTGGCGGCGGTGGAGATCAGTCGTCCGCGGCCGCCGTGGCCGCGGCCGGGCTAAACTACACGAAGACCGAGCCGTGCGTCGGTAAATCGGACGCCGCGGCCGCGGCCCACCAGAACGGTTACGCGTCTTCGCCCAAAGACGTGGTGTGGCCTGGCAACGCGGCGTCTGCGGCCGCCAACGGGTCGCTTCTCCGGCCCAACGTATGCACGCCCGAATCCCGCGTCGGCTACGGGTCCGGCAACAGCGTATCCGGCCTGGACGGCGCCGGCGCCAGCCCGAACTCGGCACGCAACTCGGCCGGCTCGCTGTCCGCCTCGTGGAACACATGCACCGGCATCAACAACAACGGTCACCAGCAACAGGCCCTGCAGCTCAACCAGCAACAGAACAACCACACGTTCTACCCGTGGATGGCCATTGCAGGTCAGTCTCTAGGTACAGACACGAAAAAGAGTATTTTTTAATTAAATATTATCTTTCACTCGCTTATGTTTTCTTCCCGCTTTTTTCGTATATATAATAATGATGCGTCATATTAATATATATATCATCGTCATGTACACATAATACGATTATATTATTATATTGTATGGCAAGTCATTATTATATCCCAACAATGGCCAATTGCATGCCAAGAGAACAAAATGTTATTATAGGTACCAATCTATATTTTTTTTTGACCTTCTGTTTTTTAAAATTTTTTATCCGTACAATTAAATAAAAAAAACCACATCATTATCGTTGTATAATGATGTGCTAAACCTTATATTGTTGTACTAAACTAGTACCTATAGGAGAATAAAAAAACTGTTTTATTTAAATAATATATTTACTCCGGGGTACAATTATTATTAGGCTATGACGTCCGCACACTAACGCCGCTCCAAAGATGTCCTGTGGCGATTTAGTTTTTTATGCACTTCAATATCCGTCTCGAGATTGTGGCAAAAATCGTAGCTTATTTTGATAGTTAATTTTCTGACTATTTATTAAATGATTTAATTACACATTCCAGAGTAGTATTATCATATTAATTCCGAACACAAATTGAATAACTTTTAATATTAATCATTGGTCATATACTCATATAATATAAAAACTACATAGGCTCCAGAGACACAGAGAATTTTATAAAATAGGTACAATATACTGTAAATTTGTTACAATTATTTTTTTAAATATTTATAAAAATTGACGAAAAAAGTTCTGATTGACTGGTGCAAAATGACATTAGAAAATATTAAAACTAAATACAATTAAAAATAATTGTTATACATCTCTCTAAGATATTTTATACCTCTATAGACACTCAATTAATCATACTTTTATATCGAACATAATTATTCAAGAAATAGCCCACAAAATTATTAAATAATGTATACCTAGATTACGTTTACCTATATAATTTATATATTAGGTATACCTAGCCCATAATATAAATTTTTGAGTTATACATATAATATATTATAAACATCCATTATACTTACATCGATCAAATATTATACGAGTAATTTATACAGTTTAAATTTTTTGTAAATTTTTAATCTTTATATGTGATTATGATGGTCTTTATTATAAATTCATTAAACTATACAAGTATATAAATTGATAATTTACTCTACTATAGATATACATATTCGGCGAGTTAAAACATATTGATTGATGATTATAATATAGTATACATAACCGGGCTTTGGGTATAGGTATAATATATACTTATTCATGCATAAACAACTGATTGCTCGATTTCCTTTCAACGGCAAATCGGAAAATAATTAATTTTACCACACTATAGTACCTATGATGATGTATTCAATTATTGCTCTTTCAGCATACATACAATATAATATGTGTATAAATACACAACGTTCTTGTAATCTTATACATACACTAATTATGTAAAAAAATACATTTTAATTAGACATAATATGGATAGATGTGTATTATAAATTATTCTACTCAATATACAAATGTAAATTTATATAATATATATTAATGTTGATGTAAGCGGTACAACAAAGCGTTTGGTGTAAATTAAAGTGGGTACACATAGGTATAATAGATGTATAATACAATATATTATATTATTTTTTTTTTTTGATTCGGGCGTGCATATCTGATATCGTATTTCATATAATTATTATCGTTTAGTCCAGTTGATGTTGACGAGTATGTTCATATTTTATAAGCCCAACGAGTGCAGTGTTTGGCCTGAAAAAAAATGCAATCGCTAATTAGACGTTAAAAAAAAAAATTACACGCGTGAACCACAATAAATGAGTGTACCTATGTAGTACATACACAGTATAATATATTATTAGCAACACAGTTATAGTGCGCGATTGCTGATTACCCGCGCGATTGTAATCTGAGCTGCAGTATTCTCCCAAGTCGTATGCGGTGCGTAGGCTGCTGCAGGTACGTTCTGTATGATATTAAAAGCATGTACGTAGGTATATATATATATAACGCTGCCGATGTTTTAAAATAAAATAAAATATACATATATATATATATATTATGTACCTATACAGACACGCGTTTAATACATACAAGTATATACACGTTTCGAGAGCGCACGCAGGACGGAAAAGATCCTCGAGTAAAACGTAGTCGTCGTCGTCTTCGTCGTGTGTGTATCCGCGAGATGACCCTGCAACAATGTCGTAGCTATATAGGCATTGAGTATATAACACGCATATTATATAGAAATAAAAAAAAATTGCCCGAGATGTACACCTATTTAGTAGGCATACGTGTACACGATATTATTATTATTATTATTATTATATATATATATTATATTGTTATAATATAGGTGGAATACTTTTCTCCTTTATATTTATACACGCGTTACAACAATATAATAATGCGAGTGTATATTGTCGTAATATAAATGTTATATGCTGCGTGCACAGTTATTTAAAAGGTCATTGATTTAAGTGTGTGTGAGTGTGTGTTTAAATCGTCGGGTGGCGTAGGCACACGCCTCACTGCGATGGGGGGGAATTCGTTCACGGTGTAATCAATGTGCGATTTAGCCCCCATATATACGAGAACGCCGTAATAAATAATATTATAACATCGTGTAATACCGTACCTATATACGCATCATAGGTACTACATTTTATTACAATCGTACAGGTATAATATAGAGCCGCGGTAGTCACGAGTGGCGAGAAAAAGATTTCATCGATTGCGGTGCCATGTCCATATCAATCTATCTATATAATATATACCGCACTATCCATATATTTTAATATTTTATTATATATATATAAATATAATTTATTGGGGGTCTGATTTTGTAATATACCTACCTACTTTTCCGACAAGTTTTCATCCCGTTTATTGCAGTACCTATTCTATAATAATGATATCATAAACATTCATGTTACGTTATGATCGTCTCACAGCAATAATAATATCGCGGATAGTAAAATGTTAATAATAACTACATCTTTTCTTCATAGGAATTGTTGTTATGATTTTATTTAGGTATGCATAGTAAAAATGTTTTTTTTTTCATTTAGAAATTCGGTACCTACATAAACGTTCTATACTGCAGTCAGCAGTGTTAGGTTGTCGATTCATTTGGTGGAAAAACTATTAATTAAAAGTAATATTATAATACAGCAGGACTCTACGACATAGTACCTACCTAATTATTTTACCCTATACATTTGTCAGAGAGCGCTTATGAACAGTATAAGATAAGAATATTCAATAAAATTCATCAATGTATATTATATCTATTATTATCCGTGTGTCATGGTATGTTCGATGTTATGTAATGATAACGGAATTTAGACAGTTTTTTTTTAAGATTTGATTATAATATAACAATATAATAATGATGTCTTCAACATGCGTTACATTTTGTATTCATGTATATAGATATACTTCATAAATATTGTAATGTCCCTATTTCATCCAAGCACTTCTATAATCACCCTATATAGACGTGTACGATACGACTAATACAAATAACTATGCACGCGCTCGTAATTGAAATTGACGAAACAATATTATATACATTTGTTATCTAAATTTCCACACTGATAAGTCTACCACACGGCTGTTTAATTGTACATCAAACAAACGAATAAACTATAATATTATTATAATAAACACAAGTATACGGCAACATTAAGCCTACAATATAATATATTATTATAATGAACACGAAGAAACGAATAATTATATCGTCACGTGATAACATTTCAAGCGACCTTATATATCTCTGAAGCCATATCTGTATCATAATTTTTTTTCAAATTTCTTTTCTCGTAGAGTTATTATGTTTTCAATACAACAGAAAATGAACGGTGGCGTTCGTCATTGTATATAAACCATATCTCTAAACAACGAATAATAATTTACGACGTGCGATGAGGTTGTTGAATATATCACCTCTCTCCTGTAACATAATAATATAATGATTTTATTTTCCACTGGTAAAAATCTAAAATAGAACTGTGTGTGTGTGTGTGTGTGCTCAGGTCACGGGTTATAGGAATTTTTCCTCGCAGAGTTTTAGAAACACATCCTAAACAATATATAAGTGCGTTCCGCGTGAAAGCATATGCTCAGTGCACATCAAACGTTTAACGTGTGTGCCGAGTATGTAATGTTTGTAACAATAATAATAATAATACATTATATTATTATACTGGAACTTGTGCAGCGTCCTCAATTAAACGAAAACAGTTGAGAACATGTATGTATAATATACATACCTATAGTTGGGATAAACTGCATTTATACAAAATATGAATAATAGTTGTATAAGTAATACTTATACGTACCTATACTTATTAAGTATAGGTACTTATATAAAACAATAATTATACAAAACAAAAACAATTAATATAAAGAAAATTGCATTGTGAAAATGCACTGACTTGATGTAAGTTTTAAAAAGTGCAACAGACTAACCTTGAAATTGAAAAAAAACTCACTTAAAAATAAATATTTTTAATTAAATATAGTCACTAACGAAACAATACACCTTAATTAGTGTCTACTGAATAAATCTAACAAAATATTACTATACCTAGATATTATATTAAATAATACGAGTTCTATAACCCCAGGAAAATAAAAAAAAAATAATAAAAATATTATTAAAACGAACGTCGACATTTCAAAGTGCCAATTTCAAAATGATAAATTCGCGAAAAAGTGTTTATTTGATGTAACCTTTTTTTTTTCGTTCCATACCTACGTGATACGTACCGCGTTATAAATTGCAGATAATCGTAAAAATTGACGTTAAACTTCGCGCAAAAAAAACAATACAAACGTCTACAAACGCCGGTCCCCGAGTTCGATATCGCCGGTACTGCAACACTGCTGGTGTGATCTGAAGACCATATAATAATTCTCTACATAACACTGATGATAATACGAGTCCAGCTACTGAAGCAGCAGCAGTATAGGTATAAAACGCAGAAGGCGTCTT